TTCTGCAGACGCACGCCTATTTTGCTGATTTCATGGCCCAAGTACTCAGTAGTCTGTCTGAATAAATGGCACTTTATTCTGTTGAAATAGTTGCAAAATGGTTTCAAGGGACTTTACACCTGATGAAAAGTCTGTAAAAGGAATCAAAATGTCATCCAAGTATGCAAGAGCGATAGTAAATCTTAAAGATTCTAAAACTTGGTTTACCTACTGTTCTTTGAGAAACTGCTGGAGCATTTGCTAATCCGAATGACATCCTAGAGTAGGTACTCGTACTCGTAGTGCCCATCTGGGGTTATAAATGCAGTTTTTGCCATGGAATCTTTTGCTATCGGTATTTGGTGAAAACCACTGACCATGTCTAGAGATGTAAAATACTTATTTGTAATTCTTCAATCGTTCAAGATGATCATCAGTTCGAGGGAAAGGGTAGCAATCTTTCAGCGTTTTCTGATTTAAAGCTCTGTAATCAACGCACATTCTATTCGTTCCATCCCTTTTCTTGACTAATAAAATGGGACTCGCTTAAGGAGAGTTGGACTCTTGTATTATACCCACTTTCAGCAGATCTTGCACAATTTCTTATACCAAATTTCTCTCGCTCATTGAAAGACGGTAGGGTTGATACGTCACAGGCTTAGAGTTGCTCAGCTGAATACTCATCTCATCTCAGCACCTTTCACACAACCCAATTCTTCTAATTTTTCAGCAAAACAATGTCGATATTTATTGAGTAATACTAATACTTTTTTATCAGTATTACTCAGAGAAAAGACACATTCAATATCTTCTAAGGTAAATGGTCGATAATCATTGGCATTTATATAGAGTTCGTTTATCTCATTTTCCTCGAAAACGTCATTTGGTAAGCATACCTGGGCCTCTGGCTATAACTTGCGAGTCCTTGAATGTCAGGTCAGAATCAGACATGTTGAAGATGGGTAACATTCTACTCTTTGTTGAAATCACGCAGCTGGGAATCGAATATAGGTACCGCCACTGGTACCATTCGACGCTAAAGATCAACAAAGAGTTCCCCTTGATCCTGGTTGTCCACATGAAAAGTCACATGACCTATATGATTAGCAGGAATCGTAACCTGCTTATCGACGAACATCTTGATTTTACTGAGTGGAAGGCTATCTACTTTAGGTAACGGCGACAATTGGGATTTAAATAGTCGTACGACTCGTACTTTTTCATTTTTCACGCTAATAATACATCAGTTTTTCGTATCATGACAGATACAACCTGTATATTGTCAGAAACAATAAGAGCTGAAACAGTTACATTTATTAGATCGACTTCAATGTTCACTTGTGCAGTTCCCAAAGCATATGCAGTACCGCCGCCATAGCCACTTATTCTTATGCTGCAGGCCTGCCCTGAAATGTTGCATTTTTCAGCAGTGGTTAAGCGTATAGTAAGAACCGCACACCCTGTATCAATAAGAATAGGTCCGTCACAGGAAACTCCATTCACTCTACAAGTAACTTGAAAGCATTTCTCAAAGTCCTGGTTTTTTGTTGCCCCTTTTTGGGCTTTAGTCAAACCGCACCAGGGATGCCAAAAGTTTTTACTTTGACTGACTGTAAAAATTAACCATTAGGTGTTGGATCATTTAAGCCTTGTATTGGGTTAGGGGTGCCTTGATTCTCATTTATACAAATAAAACGCTGAAATAGAATAGTTATCAATTTAATTAATAAATGAAAGTAATTCGGTATGGTTATCAATCAAATCCTATCTAAAAATTCCTAATTGGACGTCCAGTCCAACGTCCAACTACAAATTTTGTACTAATCTAAAGTAATCTTGATTTATAAAAAGTAGGGAAATCTGATAATGATAATAATATCATTTATGGTCAAATGTTCAATGAACGAGAACACAAATTAACTAATTAAATGCACCAGAGCACAACATGAATAATTCGTCAACTTCAATCAGTTCACTGCAATCACAAAATGTTTATTGATCCTTGAAAGTTCTTTTATTTATTGAGAGTTAACAATTTGAGCACTTTTCTGCTGAAATCTGTAAACAATATGTGCAAGAAAAATCTTTATATGCTCAGTTTCTATATACAAATGTACAAATGTTAATTTCACGAGTGTGAAAACCAAATTTCTGCATTAAACGTTAGAAAACACTCCAATTTATAGTGCATTTCAAGCGAATCACTAATCAGTATTTATTGTTCGATTGTTAGAGAAATTGTAACGGTCTTACTTGCTTAATCCGGTTCATGCAGATAAATCCACAAGGCGATTATTTATCCATTTATCACCACTATTCACAATGGCAGCTAGGGAATTTTCCACTGAGATGAAAAGAAAACACAATGATATACAGGTGCGTTGGAGCCCGTCGAGAGTGAGAGAGATAGAGCCAAAAATAAGCGTAGGAGAGAATTTGGCTCGTCCGAGGTGACTTGCAACAATTAGGGGTTAATTACATGAATCGTAATCAATAATATAGACCATGTCTTGAGACACAGAGAGTAGTATTTTACTATAAATCGCGGTTACTAACGGGGGTTTTTTGGGGGTTTTGCTTCTGAAGAGCATTCAGAGGGCACGAGGGTACGAACTATTCGCTTATTCTAATAGCACTGAAGAATGTGCGTTGACTAGACTCTGCCAGGGAGCAGGTCGCAAAATCTAGGGGTTTTGTGCGGCGGCTGACCAAACACACGGCGAGAAAGGTTCACTGCCTTATAAGGTAATGAAGAAACCTGCAATTTTACCGGTTCAAAGGGTTGTTGTTGCCGGTTTTACAGGCATCTATTTTTAGAATATTATTTTTTATGGTAAATAATAGAGAGGAAAATTATATTAAATTAGAAATAACAAAATTTAAACTTGTTTTGGGTTATTTCCGCAACAGTACACAGTGAACAGTCAATGTGTCATTCCAGTTATTAATTGATTTTAGTTGATCTATTTTATTTACCCATTTTATTGCACTCATTCCTAGTGAGTCCGGAAAAAATTCGGGAATACAATCAGAACGAATTGCTATTTGTGGACCACTGAATTTTTGATTTAAAAACTCTTCTACAACGTTCTGTAAATCTTGAATTTTTTTATTTTGGTCAGCAAGTGAGCCAACTCAACATTATTGTTTTCTCTTAAACTATCACTTACTGATGATACTCTAGGTGGTGATGGCGTGTAGTTTCACAAGCAAAAAACTTTGCTTTGTGTCGATGCTTTTGCAATCGATTTCCTTTTGTATCGCCCATAATCAGTGGTTTCACTCTTGGCAGTAGATGTCGATGAAGAGGACGACTTATACCTACTTGTTTTCCCATTCTGAAATACGCCACTAACACCAAGAGAAATATCCAACATCAATCCGTGTAATCACGAAACATTTTATTTCAGTCCAAAACACACTGAATAATCAAGTCTCCTCAAATAGAGCGTAATTTTCCCGTCGCTGCTCTGTTAATTAACACAAATATTTATATTTATTCAACTTTTGAATATTCCTGGGCTTCTCATTGTTTTATAAGTAGGTACCTTTCTCAAAAACAATTCAATTATAGAAATCACTCCAAATTACTTGAAATAAGAGCCGAGGAATAATAAACAGTTGAATTTATATACATAGGTACCTAATTAAAATTTAAATTTTGAATATTCCCGTCCACATGCAGTTCAAAAATTGAGTTTGAATATTTATAATAATTTAGGATTTGATTATTCCTGGCTCTCAATTAAGTTTCACGTCCCGAAAAGAACTTCAAGGCGTCTTGAAGACATCTCAAAGACCGTCGTGTGTCAAAAAATCCAACGTCTTTCCAGACGTCTGCCCAAAGACGTCTTCAGGACTAGTATTTCATTATTATTGTACTCATTTTATACCTTCCAAATTTTATCTATTCCAAACGCTAGGCTCGTAAATTCTTGATTTTTAAATAATGAGAATTCAAGAACGGAATCAAAAAATTCAAGAGCCAAAAGATATTTAAAAATTTAGAATAAAGAAATGAGAAAAAATGCAGAGCCTGGAATAGGAAAAATTATAATTATAAATCAATATACCGGTCTGGCAAGTCAGCATCTTACAGGCCAATTTCAATGTAATGGAATGAAATGTCTAGAAGAAGTCTAAGGTTAAATAGAGAACGAAAGTGATTTCCCCTGTTCCACCTCCATGGAGCGCTGGGAATCTGGAATAGGGAAAATCGTTTTCGTTCTCTCTTCAACCGAATCTTCCATTTCCAGTGAATCCAGTGATACAATCCAGTTAAGGAAAGAAGAGGAACTTTTCTTATTTTTCAATTTTTCCGCTGCATATTTTTCGAATATTTCGACTTCAAATCACACAATAAATCACGTTATAATGGAGTTGAGGCGGTCCATATTTTGGACCTGAAATTTCAATTGCTTATATTCTGATCCTAAATTTTCTTGTGGTCTTTTTGGAATTAGATATTTTGCTTGGTAGCCTATTCCAAAATCATTTTCTAGATGTAGATTATCAGAGTTCATACCTGTCATCTGCCTGTTAGCTCCATTCATCAATCGACTTTGAATTTTCCTGAAGCTTTTCAGGCCTTTCAGCAGTAGGTAGTAGGTTGAACTTAAATATTTTCAAGAATAATTTTGTTCCATAAAAATAATGTCAAGGTAAACATGCATCAATAAACAAACATTTTCGAATGCTTGTGCCATAATATGATAATCGTTTAGATATTCAAGGTCTGATTGTCAAGAAAATATGCATTAATAACCTACACAAGATGCAACTGCATATTTTACAATCTACCAGCTAAACATCATAAATATAGCGTGTTAAAAGGATTTTCGTTAAAAAAAAATCAGTTATTAGGCGCCGATATTAATCTAAAGGCTTTCCTTTTAGGAATTTGAAGAATTCATCATGAATGAGCTCGTATTATTTCTTTATTAAAAACAATAGAATTAATTACAAACGGACAAGTAATAATAATTGAATAATAAATATCTATGGAATGCTCTATTTATTAATAACGTTATAAATATTTAAATCAATATAATAAAATCTTACAATCAATAATTAAGTACTATAAAAACTGTAATAAGGCTAATTTTTTCAAAATTTCATTATTCATTGTATGACTAAGGCGTAACGCATTTTATCTTTGGTTGTAATTTTTATGTAAAAGCGGTTATTATAAAAAAAAAGTACTATTCCATTTGTTTTAAGAACAATTAGATGTTTGTAGCTTGAAACAAATGGAGTCTGTATATCTACTAATGATTACCTATACTCAGAAGGCACTCTTTGGAAAAGACTACAACATATTCAATATTCAATAAAAAATTAAATTTATTCTTAATTCTACACATAGTTTACAAAATTTCACATAAATTTACAATGTTATTCTTAAATGGAATGGTTATTATGATCGTATCTTTGTGAACCTAGGCCGTAAAGCCTGCTTTGTAGTTAATTCATAAGACAAGTTATCAAAAACCCATATCTCAATACAAATTTCACAATGTTCGCAATTTATATCGAAAAAGAAAATTATGAAATATGTATTCTCACAGTTGTGGTATACAAACCTACACTAGATTTTACCATTCTATCACGCACTTTTCAAGTCTCTACACTGTCAAACCAGGTGAACAATGTTGCACTCTATTATCAGGAGGAGGATACTTGCAACAGTAACTAGATACCACTCCAGTCAGTGCCAAAATCAATGTCAGCACCGAGAATCCACAAACTGCTGCCGAAGTCATGTCAGCCAAAGGAGTACCCGGATCTGGATCGTAGACTAGCAGTAAAATTAGGCCTGTGCATGTCAGGATGCTAAAGAGACTTAAAATCAAGTAACCTGAAACATATTAGTTGAGATTTTATTAGGTAATGTTGCTTTTCTCTGGGCTTTGTGTTAATTAATAAAATTAGCACAGCACCCATTCACTAAGTTTTATCCTAATTATTTACCTGAAAGATAGTTCCTATTGGGCAGCCAATAAACATTCCTAGACCGGAACCCCAAAATCCCCATAATAGCGCAGGTGAATCCGGCCACAGTACCAAAATCCAAATAGTACGGCCTCCCCATAAAAGACAACATATAAAAACACAACCCAGTGGTGGCCACGCCGCACATAAACATTATAAATGCGGCTATGGCCAAAGCTTGTCCTGAAGCCGTATTGCCTTTAACGCTCAAATTCATCCAGGATTCGGATTTCTGCGAATAAGTTGTTTCCCCGTAAATACTTTGCACCGGGCTGGAGCACATTGGTGGTACTATGGCGGTGTTTGGTTGTCGTTTTTCTTGATTATTGTTAAATTGCTTGGAGCCAATAGCGTAGTTGAGCTTTTGCTGGACTTTTGAGTTCAGCGATGGTCGAATGGTTCTTTGGGGTGAGTTTCTGGGTGTCTGGAATGGGTCCTTCGTAATGGGTGATAATGGTGGAGAGTTAACTGTAGTACGGCGTGAAGTGTGAGGAGAAACCATCATCCTTTGTGGGGTTTGTCTTTTGGTCTTTTTAGGGGTAGAAAGTAGTTCGTGTAGCTTTTGAGTGGCTATAGGGTTTGTGCCAGGTCTGGGAGGATTTCTTTGAGCAGGAGGATAATCGTATCTGCCTCCAACGGCCTTTGGAGGAGATTGCTGGATGTATTCGTATCTAGAGTTATTTTTTGGTGGCGTGTTTTGAATATATTCGTATCTGTTTGGTTGTTGTTGTGGAACTTGATGGACTTTTGGGGGTGCTGGAGATTCTTTTATGTATTCATACCTGGAAATTTGTTTTTGAGAAAGTGCTGGGAAATGAGATAAAAATATTCGTACCTGTTTTGGTTTTGCGATGTAATGACTGTATTTAGTTGGTTGACTGGAACCAAAGCGTATTTTTCGTTTTTGCTTGTCAATGCCGTTTCCTCTTCAGCTTCTATAACTGCATATCTGGAATACAATACTTTATGTTTAGAGAAGTTAAATTCACATTGCTAAATGTTTGTTTCACACTTGAGCTCATACCAAATTTGAATTCGCTTTTTTTACTAAATAAAGAAGTATTTTTATCACCTATGAACTATTCCAGGAACAATTTCCACATGTTCTTCGAGCATCTGCGATTTTTTAGGGGTCGATCGAGCTAATGCATCAGGCATACATCTCGGATCTTGTTCCTGCAATGGAATGTATTCATATCTGGAGTTTTGGTTTTGGAGTGGAGGATTTTTTGGTGAATTGTAATGGATTTGTTGAGTACTTCCATATCTAGAACATAATGGTTAGCATAAGATATTAGGTATACAGTTTTGGTCACGGGTGAAAGAAAACCCGTTTTAGAAATGATAACAGACAAGGCAGAAAAAAGTTTATCGTACGCTTACATTGTTGACTATATGCTTACATTGTTGTCTATATGCTGACATTAACAGTTTCTGAAGAAATGAACACCTCTAAGAAAAAAGGCTTTTATCAGAAACATTTAATATGTATGCTTCTTATATGACCTCTTAGTCAAGGCATACGAGACCGATAATAACATTACCATTACTAATATAAATAAATAATAGTACATTTAAATTAAAGTTTCTCACCTGCTTCCTTTTCGTTCTTCCTGAGGCAACTGAATATACTTCTGTCCCTCATTATTCTGAGCTACCACAACAAATTTCTTCCCTTTAATAAATCCGTTATTATCAACAATGACTTCTTCGTAAAATTCTTGTTCTTCGATGTTGTCGACTAATTCTTCAGGATTATCATGAATTTCGCTTAAAGAATTATCGAAAACTACATGGCTGGTTTGGGCTCCTACGGGCGATTGTCTGACGCTGCCTTGAGGGCTCAAAGCGCGTTTTTGATGATAGTATTCGCTTTGCTGGCAAAACGCTGGGTTGGAATAGTAGTTGGGTTTAACATCCATGGTGCATTGAAGAGGAATTTTGCATCACACCTTAAATGAAATATATTTTTTTACCTAAGTGAATAGGTATTTTGTTTGCATGATTGCATGTTAAAAAAACTTTGGGGAAAAATATGCAAAACTTTTCCAAAAAATACGTACGTTAAATTTTATCTTATTATTTATTATTATTAGTTAACAATAGTGAGCGGTGAAAATAAACCGATGAGACTATTGTAGTACTATTAGCACTGTTATTTATACATATTTATACATAGGTAGGTATATTAATTGGTATAGTGCACAAATGATCTTGTCAATTCAGCCATTTTACTGTCCAGTCTGTTTTTAAACCAGGTTAACTGAAGATGCGTTGAACTTTTTCAAGTGCTTTAATGTCCTGCTTTGACATAATAAGGACTCCATATACTTTGGGCATACTTCAGCCTGGGCTTTTTAACAAACATTTGGGATGTGCGGCATCTTTAAATGCCTTGGAAGTCAGGTACATGGTACTTTGACTTCTTTATGATGCCATTGAGAAGTATGGTTTTTCCACTTCAATATATTCAACTATACCAAGCCCAAATGGACCACCTAAACACATTACAAACGTAGGCTCAGAAGACATGCCGGAAATATCACCATCAAAAATTAAATACACACTCGAACAGATGAAAAACGGCAAGAGTCCGGGAGAAGATCGAATAACACTGGAATTGCTGAAGATGGGCGGAAAAACACTGAATGAGACAATAGGAATACTGTTAAACAAATGTCTGATAGAGGAAAAAATCCCGGAATCATGGAAAAATGCTGAAGTCGAGATGATATACAAGAAAGGGGATCGCTCAAATATAGAAAACTATAGACCAATAAGCCTACTATCACACCTATATAAACTTTTCACTAGAATTATCAACAATCGACTGACTGCGAAGCTAGACTCCTACCAACTGGTATAACAAGCAGGCTTTCGAAGGGGCTTTAGCACTACAGACCATCTACAAACAATTAGGGCAGTCATCGAGAAAACAACAGAATATAACATACTCCTACATCTGGCGTTTGTGAGCTACCAGAAAGCCTTTGACAGCGTTGAAACCTGGTCTTTTCTAGCGGCAATGGAGGAAGCAAGAATCGATTCGAGATACTCTACCCTTATTAAGAATATCTATGAGAATTTCATACATCTGTCAAAACTGGTATTCCAACAATAAATTGACATGTTTTGATTGTTGATTTGAACCAATCAGATTGTAATTACGCGATAATTTGCACTAGTGCAAATTATCAGATAATTGCATACGTGCGAAAACTGGTGTTTTGAAATTTTTTGACAAAAAATTTAAATTTTTGATTTATGAAATTCTCTCATTAAATACAACTCGTGCAATGGAAATATATTTATAATTTTTGACAAATTTGCACTCATGCATTCGGGCAAATTTTCCAAAAATTATCAATAATTTCCATTGCACTACATAGTTATATTACTATTGCTAAGACAACCTTTCACGTTAAAATACACAACGCAAATATCACTTGGCAAAGGAGTACGACAGGGGGATATCATCTCTCCCTAGCTATTCACCCTAGCACTGGAGAATGCTTTTAAGAAGCTGAAATGGGAGAACAAGTGCCTAAGCATCGATGGAGCATACCTCAATGACCTCAGATTTGCAGACGATATAGTCTTGATGAGCATCAACATTCAAGAACTGAACAACATGCTAAATGAGCTAAACGAACAATCCAAGAAAATAGGCCTAAAAATGAACCTGAACAAGACCAAAATAATGAGCAAAAATGAATGTAACATCTCAAGCTGGGCGAAGAAAACCAACCGGCGGAAATCAAACGCAGGATCCATTTGGCATGGTTGGCAATCGGAATCATCAACTTTATTTTAAAGATAAAAAGGTAGCCATAAAACTAAAAAGGAAAGCCTACGACAGCTGTAATCTGCCGGTTCTCACCTACGGCTTAGAAACTATGGCAATAACTCGAAGAGCAGCTGAGCAACTGAGAGTCGCACAGCGAGCCATGGAGAGAATAATGCTCGGAATCCCCTTAAGGGATAGAGTACGAAATGAACAGGTACGTGATAGAACCAAAGTGACGGATGTTGTGAAAAGGGTAGCAAGCCAGAAGTGGCAATGGATCGGAAATGTGGCGAGACAAGATAAATGGACCCAAAAAACGACACTCTGGAGACCAAGAGGAACAACAAGAAATGTGGGACGACCGAAAAAAAGATGGATAGACGATGTCAAAACGGTGGCAGGGGGACAATGGATGAGATTAGCGAGAGATCGCGGGACATGGAAAAACTTGGAAGAGGCCTATATCCGACAATGGATGGACACGGGCTGACGAAGAAGAAGAAGAAGAAGAAGATATTCAATGACAACAATTCCGAAATCGTTCACCAACACAAATTACCTGGGTAGACTCCAATGAAATATTGCATCCGGGGGTTGTTTTTGTCCAGGTGGGGTATTGAATACTTGGAGTCATTCAGTGGCATTTTCTAGGTGGTTGTCCACTGTTGGCATCTATATCCCCCTGGAGGCTTTCATTCTGCGTTACAGGATTACTATAACAACAGGTACCTATCATCCGCAAATTACGATATCTGAGTAATATATACAAGGAAGAGTAGAGGGCCAAGGACTGAGCCTTGGGATACACCACGGAATTTGACTCCATGGAGCGTATCCTGACACAGAACTGTTGATTCTTCGAAAAATCTTGGATTAGGTTGAGTAGAAGTCCTCTTATATACCATAGCGATGGAAATTATGAAGCCACCCAAATGGTACCTTGTCAAAAGCCTTTTAAAAATCTAGGTAAAATACATCAACAGACTGGTCAGAGTCATCTGAGTCATCTCCACTGGTCCAGTCATGAACCCTATTTGGTAAGCAGGTTCGCGAAAGTGGACCTACCAGGAAGGAACCCGTGTCCGATGATACGATTTCCGAGCAAAAATGGGATTGACAGTCTTTAGTTTAAATGGAATGAAAAAGCTTATTGTGGATGACAGAGCCATGAACCGCTCATAGTTAGCGGTAATGCTGAACATGTTATTTAATTAATAATTAGGCAAGCAGGGATGGAGCATAATTTTATTTCTAAGAATACGGCGATGAAAAAAAAAAAAAAAAAACAGATAGAGAAACAATGCAAAAAATCCAACGTGTACTTTTTATGAGTTTTCATTTTTAAAATAACCTACAGGATGGCCCATTTAGAAAATGTACACCTCTTGTGGTGAAATACAGGGTGTTCCAGCCGAAACTGAACCATTTCAATATCTAATATTTCCGAAACTAGAAAAGATAAAAGCTTTTTTAAAAAGCCTTTTTCTTAAACTTTTCAATAATGAATAGTTTGATGCCCTTTTTTCTTAAACGAAGTTTGGTATTAGCTCTTAAAAAGACCTGCTTGCCAGTTAATATAAAGTAGGTAAGTATAGTAAATATAGTTTATAATGAGCACATAAAAATAGTTAGTTGCGGTCTTTATAATTCACTCATTTTCTAAGGCTGTTGGGCTATAGGCGGCATTTTACAAACGAAATTTTAAACGGAAATAGCTTTGTATTAAGCCAGAGTTTATATATCGGAGTAGAGAGACTAAAAGGTACGCCGACAAATAAAAATTTCAAAACCGACGTAGAACAATAAGAATAAAAAGAAAACTGTACCAATGAGTTTTTAAATGCATCTTTCTAAAGTAATTCTGAATTCGAAAATACGCCTACGAAAGGTTTTTTATTTTCTACTTAACTATTATAGATCCATATAATACCTAGGAAACGAAATACGTTAACATACCTATAACAACCTGATCCATAACGCCCGCTTATAATACCCTGAGGTGTTTTTGTTGTTGTTGTTTTATTAATTTGCACTTTACCCTAGGCAATCACTAAATGTCGGAACGAAAATAATTTTCGGTCTAGCCAGGATTCGAACCCGGTCTACCATCAACGTTTCCCATGTAGTCCACTTGGTACATAAATAGCTATTAGGACTACTTGTTTGAATTGGATTGATTTTAATGCAAAAATACGCGTAGGAAAGGTTTTGTGTGATTATAATAGCTAAAGTTTAGGTTTCTTTCTTGTTGAAATACCTACGCATTTTGACCCTACTTTGGATAGACTTGCAGTAAACGTCTTGAAAATGCACTTTTAACACTTGTTTTTGATTTTTTTTCCATGTTCCAAGGAAGGCAAAAGTCAGAAGAGTTACTGTTAGGACAAATTTGGAGCCTTTTGTGGTTCTCAAAGCAATTTTGATCCCAAAATATGTCTACGAAAAGATTTTTATGGCTACTAGCTTCAATTGGATGAATTTTAATGCAATTTTGAACCAAAAATACGCATGAGAAAGGTTTTTGTATGATTATAAACTAAACTTTTGTAAACTTTTTGTTTTCTTATGTTAAACGCGCATATTAAGCCTACCTACTTTAAATAGGTTTTGATTGAGAATAAGTAAAATAATGCAGAAAACCTGTAGAAAGTGTACTTTAACAGTTGTTTTTGACATTTTTTTTTCACATTTCAATGCAAAATGTAGAAGGCAGCACTATTAGGACAAATTTGGACAGTTTTGTGGGTTTTACAGCAATTTTGAACAAAAAATCGAGGGGGTAGTCACTTGCCAAATTTCTAGGACAGCTAAATTTCTAGGACAACTCCATAGATCCTTATATGGATACCCCTGGGATCTCCAGGAGATCCATTTGGATTTCTGTGGATCCTCGTGTATCTCCTCCGGACCTTTATATACATTAGTAACTTGTCAATTTTATATGGAACTACTTAAATCATGATTTTATTACCAACTATTTTATGAGTCAGTGGACTCTGCTATGTATTCTTCCATTCCTTCCGCTACCCTACCTGTGGAGACAAATTCCACCTTCACTGGAAGAAACGAGCTGAACTGATTTGGGTTTGAAATTTTAGTTATGCCGTATGGAAATATGGATTACCAAAGATTGTTGATCTGTTTTCCACTGTCTTTTTTGTAAAT